TTGTCCCTCGCATTCACAGTACAAATAAGCACACCAATCAAAAAAAATCTTGAACTTTAGATAGAAACGTCCTAAGTAGCAAGCAAAAAACGAAGAAAAAAAAACAACTCTGACAAGCCGACCTGTAGATGAAAACACATGGCACCTCAAAAACCACCACCAAAAAACAAAACATAAAAGGGTCTTAACGTTGGCATATCAGCACTTCGCGCAGACAAAAACTGACTAAATAATAATAACAGCATAGGAAAAAAATAAAAATTCCAAATTCAGCAAGGTTAAAAAAACAGCACGCCACTGCATGGCGCACCAAAAGCCAACATGTTCAACCCAGTTACCGCCGGAAAGACCCGCAAAAATTCAGACACTGGCCCAAAGGCAACAAGCAAAAAAGAAACGACCCCTGCCTTAACGCTACGACCCCGAACAAACAGGAACCCCAGTATTCGCGGTCTTTTGCCCGTCACCAAACACTTGTTTCTGTCTTTGGCGGGGCCGCGTGTCTCACAGGGGCACCCGCAAACAGTTGCCGTCCCGGACACCGCGGAACAGCCGCTTGGGGGGCTCTCGCCCCTCCTGCCCCAAGACCCCCCAACGGGAGCAAGCGCGCGACACCGTTTTAGCAGTGGAGGGGCGGTTGGGCAACGAAAAACGCCTCGCGCAGGCTTCCCGCCGCGGCTGCTGGGGCCGCGCCCGTCGCCGCTTTACGCTGCTGTTTCGACGCATCTTGCTGTCCGGATTGTGTGCGCGGCGGGTTTTGCACCGCGCGGCGCTCGTGTGTGAACGGAAGACCACATCACGGATGTCGCGCTTCAGCCCAGAAAAGCGACGGAGGGCATTCCGGGCAAAGAGGCCGACAACAATGCACGGTGAGGTTTTTGCAACCCACCCACACGGCATCACAGCACGGGCATTTCTCCTTTTGACGACTTGTGGACGGCCGTTTTCCCGCGGGAGACGCGGCAGTCGCAGGCCGCGTCGGATAAGCAGCGCCCGTCCATAGTGCACGTGGGTCGGGGCTGGGGCGCACGATTGCAGCTTGTTCTGGCTAAAGAGCTCATGAACGGCAATGACTCAAACAACTTCTCACTGTTCACAATAAGCGACTCCAGAGCTCAGACTCCCCACGCCGTGTGTGCGCCAGGTGCGCCAGTTCGGTTCAAACAAGGTCTTCCTGCGCAATTAGACCACCGCCACTGAAGCCAAAGGACGCTGCAAAGCATAGCATACGGCGGCGTGTGTCTTGAGGCGTGGTTGCGCGCCGCGCTTTGGCGAGTTTTGCGGTGAGGCATGTCAGCAGATCTGTATGCCGCGGAGTTGCTATACGCTTTTCTGTGTGCAGAGTAGTTGATGCGTTCGGCGTTGCACATTCATTGGCAGTGTCATTTGCAGGTGTTCCACAGTGTCCGTAACAAAACTGCAGATGCACTGGCCGGCCAACACACCTCAGTGTCGAGAGGCACTGCCAGATCTGGTCTTTCGTACTGTCGGTTTGACTGGGCGGGCCTTTGTTGCGGGCAGCCAGAAGGGACTGACCATATGTAACCACGCATGGTGTTTTGTTATCGTGCTGGGTGCAGAGAACGATCAGTTTGTTGAGGGCCAGAAGCAACAGCGTACAAGATTCCGCCCTGTAGTTCTGCGGGCGTATGCCGCGGTGAACGCTGACTTTCTCTATAACCCCAGGGCGGTGCAGAGAAGAAATCGGTATTCTTGCCCCAGCTGGCAAGGAAGCGTCGACACCACCATCTGTTGCGAGTGTCCACGCGCGGTGTTTGTATTGTGCCACATCCGCTTTGCTGGCTCTGAGCTTCTTCATTTTAAGCTCCTTTTTTGCCGGCGATCGAGCAATCCATTGGGGGTTGCGCGCTAATAGACACCCAGTTGGTGGGCGCCACAGAAAAGGGAGAAATGGAGCTGTGAAAAGGCCGCTCCTCGTGTGGAGTTTTTATCGGTGATGCCAAACTTCCTTGTTTTCTTATCAACAAAGGCGTGGAACTCATCCCGAGATAGTGGCGAGACGCAGAAACCGGCGCGTAGCGGCGGCTCAGACGGGGAACTTACTCACCTAGCCCATCCTACACGCCCAGATGTTTTCAAGGGATTGAGAGGCGAACGCGTAGGCGGAAAACACAGAGCCGAGGTATATTGGCCTCCAGGAGGGCTGTTTCCCAGCCATTTGTGCCCGGAGCTTTGCTGACAGCACATGTTTTTTTTTCTTCGATGTGGGGATCTAATGCGAACTGGAAAACGGCACCGCGCGGCCGTAGCGAGACCATCGCAACGCTTCCTTAAAGCGCATTGGGGCATACATTTCCCCTGCAAACGCCAGAAATAAGGGACGGAAAACGTGGAACGCCATGCGAGTTGAACCTGTGAGGTTATTTGAAACGTTCAAACCACTGAGCCACACCAAAAAAAACCGCATTCTATTTACATATCTAGAAAGGTATTTTATCATTTTACAAATAAAAAACAAATACGGTATATTATGGAATCTGAAGCCACCAAGCAAGGCGCGCTAGGGTGCCGGCTACTTCGAATTTATCATTGATTCATCAATGCCGGAGCCGCTGCCGCGCCTTTTTCACGCCCCTCCTCCATATCGCGCTCTTTCAGGGCTTATTTCTTTTCAGGTCTACAAGATAAGAAAGCCAGCAAGCCCCACCAAACCGCCGCACTATTTGGTGGGGCTTTTCCCTTGCCCAGGCCTCCTTTTCCTTTCCGGTCCTCGACTGCGTTTTTTTTCTTTTTTTTTGTTCGGAAACCCGCGCGCGAAGGTGGAGACAGCGAGTTCAGAGATATTTCTTCCGAGGATGGGGCTTTTCAAAATTTCGGCGTCTTGGGGAGTAGCCGGCACCCGTTGGTGTCTGTGCACGCCACGGCGCGGTTCGCGGACCCGCGCGCAAATATGGGGGGCTCCCCGGCTGCTTCAGTCTCTTTTTTTTTCTATGCCGAGACGCGTGCAAGCAACAGAGGGTGAAGATGATTTGAGATTTGTTCAAGTATTCCCCTGTCGATGTGTGATCTCGTCTGGATTTTTTTTGTTTGTTTATCCGGATTTTTTAACCTTTTCCTTCTTCTTTAATGGATCCAAGGTGGCAATGAACATGCTGCGGTGTACTATACTATACACTTTCCTAACCTTTCTTTGTCATTGGGCAAATGCGGAGCAGCCGGTGTCATATCCTATTCAATGGGACAATGTCGCACCAAACCCGCCCAGTCCGCGGAATCTGGCATCACCTTACATTGGTAAGTGCATATGCGACTCGACATGGGGCTCTTGTGACCCCAATTGTTGCTGTGACATAGATTGTACATTGGAGGAGAAAAAGATGTTTCCATTTTGTCTCCAGGAAACGATTGGATCCCCTTCTATTGAGTACTGCTATGCGCAGAGGCAGGACAAAAAAGTTTTTCAGGCTTCTCAGCGGTACCTTGACAAGGTTCATAGAGGCAAGAGAGCTGTTTGCATTGTGAGAGCCAATAATATTAAGGATATGGATCCTTTTTTTATCCTTCCAAAGGCAATCTCAAAACCTAGTGATAAATTGGTCGATGATTGGGATGGGCCAAAAGAAGCAAATGACTACGTGGTGAATGGTGATTTACTACTGATGAAACGCATAGAGGTTGCTACGGCGATTCACGAAATGAGAACTATGGGATTGTTTCGCATTCCCTCCGGAAGGCAGGATGGGTCCTGCACTGTAGAAGGGCGCCGTGTACGATTTATGAATCCCATAGACTCTACAGTGTGTGTACTATCTGGTGCAAAGGTTTGTGCGCTTTTTCCAACAAACATTTACGCAAATTTGTTTTTGGGGGCTCCGGGATCGTCGGTTTCCCAGAATTTCACACCCATACAACTACAATTTTTTGACGATGTTTCCGGTAAATTGCTTGCCCAGGTGAATGCAACTTCAAGCCTTCCTGAAGTTTACCGTTCAGTCATTATCGGGAATGTTTGCAAGAATGGCGTTGTTCGGGCTCAGACGCTTCTGGTTTATAATTCAACTGACATTGGGCTTTCCTTGATGAATGCAACAACAAGGTTATACCTTCGTGACATAGACAAAGAAACACTGGCATCCATGCTGTTTCAGGTAGAGTTTTCTCGGTTAGGTGGTAAAACGCCGGCCAGCTATTTTTCGGGTACTCCAGGCTATTCCGAGGGTGCGCGTGTACGGGCGGGTACGTTGTTAGAGGAGAAGGGCAAGACCGCAATATCTGAAAGAGTTTCCGGATTTTCCATCCCTAGTGGCGACATCTCTTGCTATAAGAACAAGTATCGTAGTGTGGGTTTTTTATATGATGTTGTAAGCAGTGGATGTACGATTTCTCTTTCTGAATTGGATTTACGTCATATCTGTGCAGGAAAAGGGACGAGTGAAATACTTAGAAATATTCTTAGTATACACGTGAAGCACTCCTCCAGCTTTGATGGAGAAACAAAACCTATTAACTATGTAGCTCGTACAAATGATGCACTGGCAAACGATACCACAAGCTGGGTAAAAATAGTTGGAATGAACTTCAGCGACATTGAACCTGCACCCTACGACGCCGTGAGGAGGCAATGCAGCAACATTTACGTTGGGCTGCGCTACACGTTTGTTGTCTCGAGGGTTGGGGCCGTGTTTAATCCGCAAGACGTCATTGTGGCTGCTTTTGCTGACCCCATTATTGGTAGTTGGCGGATTCGGAACAAAATGGATTTCAGCGAGGCCGCCGTTTCCACACAGCGGTTTCGTTTCTTGGTTACATTTAGATGGACTAACGCGGGTTTACAGAAAACAGGTCATCGCCGGGTTACTGCTCCACCGATTTTTCCCCCTTTGGATGACACGATCTTCTACCCCTTTAGCCCCCCTGGATAGTTTCCTCTCCCCTAATAATAAAAACAAAAAAAAAGGACACTAGAAAGCAGCTTGTTTCCCTACTTGAATCCTTACAACAATAAGAAAAGTGAAGCAATAATATTTTTTTCTGTGTTGTTGTTGTTTTCGCATTTGGGCTTTTACTCTTGAGAAATCCCCGACCGCATTTATTTACGTATAAATAGAATATTACCGTTATTTACGTCCTGCGTAGGATGCTTCTTCTTTATTTGTTATTTATTATTATGACCTTATATTTTTTTGCCATTGTATGCGTGGTTTTTTTTTGGGTGTGGGGGGGTGTGGTTGATGAGCAGAGGTGTAGAAATGTTGCGTAGCAGTAGTAGTCTTCGACGGGGCGTATACCACAATGCACCCAGCGTATATCCGTTTGTGAAACCTTTTCATGATACCCCGTACGACGAGGATAGGGGCAAACACGATGTTGCGAGAATGCATTTGTCTAAAAACAATTGGCCCGAGTGGATGGATAATGGAGCGGATGCCTCTGGATACGGGATAGGACTTCATCGCGTGCATCCTCTTTCAAGGCTGCGTGGGAATCTTAAAACTAGTCCGTCACATGTTCCGCGCGTTTTGAATATGATGATTCAAGGTGTTTGGCATAAAAGTGGTGTTAAGTTGTACTTTCGGGGCGGAAAACCCCCGAATCCGAGCAAGCACCCCTACTTAACGGGAGAACCTTGCCCCGTCTATGGGTGGAGGGTGACTGATGAATCTGTCATTAGACAGTTTAACATGCCAAGCGTGGATGTCATGAAGCTGCGATACAAACCCTATGTTGCTTTGCATGAGCGAAAAATAATGGGGCCGAGCACGCATAAACCCATTGAACCTCAATCACCGAAGACAAAAGCAGCAGCCAAACCATTAGTTAAACGGCTCTTCTTTTGGCAGTGATATATATATATACATATATATAATTCTGTTTCCTGTTGAAACTGTATTGGTGAAGGAGGCTATTTTTTTTTTCTCTCGTGCTGTGCGACAGTATGAGATTATTATTAATATTATTAATATTGCAATACCTTTTAATTTTTATTTTATACACGTTTGGTTATACGCAATATTATGTTTGTGATTTTAACTTTTTTTTGTGAAAAAAAAGCATAAACATAACTAGCTTCATGATAGTTTTAGGAGTTACACAGCAATGCAGGAGCTCTATGAAACGGTCAGCAGATACGCGGGGCGCGGTACACCTTTCCATTCCACTGGTAGGGTTCTCCCCCGAAGGGCAGCGGTGCAGTTTGTTGGTTCTTTTGTTTGCCAGGGACGTCTAAATGCCTTTTGCGCCGCTTTGGTGGCTCGTTTTATGGCCTCGAATGAGGCCCTCGTTGTCGTCTCACGTGATGCTGTTCAAAAGGTTTCGTGCGACGGTTATTCACTCCAGCCGGGACGCACCGAATTGGGGCCCACTTCAGGGGAAATTACAGGCGTTGTTGCGTCTGCCGGGTTTGTCACTGTTGGGTATAGCGCTGGCGTGACTCGCTATTCTTCAAGACTTCAACTTCAGCGAGAACTTTTATTTGATGGATACGCGAATAGCATTCTTAGTATTGCTGTTCCGCCGGATGGATCTTGCATCGCCACAGGTGGTGGAAATGCGGTTGTCACGGTTTGGTCATCTGAGATGAGTAATGTCATGCATTACCTCTCTGGTCACACGGATTGGGTCCGTTTTGTTAAATTTACTAAAGACAATGACCAAAGGCTACAACTGTTTAGTACCGGAGATGATGGACTCATTCTCCATTGGGATCCAATAGCTGGGCTGCTGCTTTCAAGATTAGATTCTTCACATGGGGAGAGTGTTCGCGCCTTTGAAGTTTCCTGGCAAACAGGTTTCATGGCGATTGCCTGCGATAGCCCGATCATTTCGTTGTATAAACCGCGAGAAGGTGGAGTGACAGCGTCCTGCCGCCCGGAGATACATCGGCTAGAACATATTGGGCAGATAACAGACGCCCACGGATTGGTTCCCACGACGGTCCGATTTTCGGGAGACTCACAATGGGTGATTAGCGCTGGAGAAGACGAAACACTTGCCGTCTCCTCTGTGACAGAGTTGAAGACGATTTTTGTGTGTAGTGAATTTATTACACGAAGACACTGCATGGCGTTTATGAATACCTTTACATCCCTCTGCATCCTTGCCTCGCCACCAGAGTCTTCTGCTATTATTATTGTAGCCTGCGCTACGGACGGAACGGTCGTTCAGTGGGTCGTTAACCCTACCACCGCTAGATCGAGCTACACAAAAAAGCTGCAGCTGCACCTTGGAGCGCTTGTGGCGATGGATTTTGTACGCGACAACGCCGGGTCGTAAGGCGCCTGCGAGGTGTGAGTGTTTCCCCCCTTGTGCCTTTCTGTATCTGTACGCCTGTCCTATTCGAGGCAAACGCGGTGCCGTGCACTGGCAGGGAATGAGGGGGGAAAAAAAATGCCATTAGTATTGATGGCCTCTTCCTAAACTCTCCTTTCCATAACAAGTATAAATGATGCAGTGATGCGTTGGGAAATACCAAATGTATCCATATATATATGTGGATGGATGGAGGGATGCGTGTGTGTTATGCCTTTTGCTTCTTTTTTTTTTTGTGTGTGTGTGTGCTTCTCTGAAATGAGGCTAATGGCGCTCACTTTGGCAGATGGCGTAGAAAAAGAAGCAAGGCGAATCATAGCCTCTGAAAATGCCTTTGACGCGCTCGCGCTAAACCCTGTAGACGCCAAGGGTGAGGTGGTGCTGAGGCGGTACGAGGAGAAGGTCGCCCCGCTTCGGCGGTTGGTGCGGAATCGGCTGGCCATGGAGGCCAAGGCCCGACTGGACCACGCCAAAATTGTGCTGCTGGATGACGTGCTTCGCGCGAAGGAGCTGCTTCGCTTCAACAGCCAACAACGAAGTGCCGTGCAGGAACGCGAGGAGTTGAAGGCCCTCGAGGCACGCACCAAAATGCTGGAAGCGCGTGCCGCTGCGCTGTCGGCGTAGGCCTCTACGTGTGTTTGCCCACATTCAGTAAGAGAGCGAGAGAGAGGAAGGACGTTGTTGGCGAAGAAGTAATGGAGTTTCTTTCCTTATTTTTGTTTTTGCCCTTTTCTTCATGGATGTTCGATGCCTTCGTGTAGATTATAGAGTGTCGTTCACATTTCTCTTTCTTTCTCTTTCCCGCGTGCCGAGTGACAAACACACTCACAAGCAGGGAAGGCGGCAGCAGAGCAGACTCCAATTCACAACAGTCATCGAAACCAAAAAAAAAAAATTATATACCACAGTACTTTACAAGGAAAAGAATCAAAATAAATAAATAATATGCAGCGCAGTCTCATTACCGGGCACAACAACAACCGTCACCTCACAATTGAGGAGCTGGAGAACAACATCGGCGGCCTGCCCATCACCGACCAGAAGCTGCAGGAGCTCTTTGACTCACTCGACACGGAGCACAACGGCTACCTCCCCATTGAAGAGGTCAAGGCCTTCTACCGGTGCCTCGAGCACTACGGGCTGGACCCGACCGATGCCGAGGTAGAGGCCGAGGTGCGCAAGTACTCCAAGAGCGACGACAACTATATGACCTTCGACGAGTTTTGCTGCCTTATGCTGAACTTCGCCCAGCGGTAAAACTCCCAGCGTCGTGTGCGGTGCGGGGGGCAGCTGCTGGCGGCGACAACGCCCCTCCGAGCGAAATGTGGCGTGGAGTGGGATACGTAAAGGAAAAAAAAACCTACAATATGTAAAGAGCCCGGGGCGCGGACGGCGTCCTTCTCACCCCCTCCCCCGACGAATGCGGGAGCGCCCAACGAGAAGTTGATGTATGCGGCGTACGTAATTGTGTGGGTGTATAAGAGCCGTCTCCGCGCCTCCCGATGAAAAGACAAAAAAAAAAGTAGAAACAAACAAGAAAGCCAATGAAAAGAGAGAAATAAGGGGGAAAATGATATGGGATGAGAGAGGTGGAACGAAAGGTGGTGGCGGAAACAATGTGAGGGCCGGAACGCGGCGAGCAACGACAGGAAGAAGCACGTACACTCACACACAAAAACAGCACCACCGAGGAGAAGGAGGAAGAGAGAAGAATACATAATAAATATATGTTTGCTGCACTTGCTGCTAGCAGAGGGAAAAGGAGGTAATATGTATGTATTCAGAATATCCTCGTTTTGTTTTTTTTTGCTTTTTTGTACGCTACAAGGAGAGAGGAAACGGAAAAATAGAATAAAATAAAAAAAGCAAAAGAACACGAAGGCGGCCGCAGGGTTACATCAAAGGGCTTGTGTTTCTTTCTTTGCCCTTCGTCTTTGCTCCTATTATATATTCTTCTTCTTTGTGTTTCTGTTTTTTTTCTCTTTTTTTTTGCCCTGTAATTTCGTTCTCAGGCGTGGAAGCACACAATGCGCCTGTGCACCTGTTGCAACGTCGACGGGATCTTACTACTTGTGCTGGTTGGCTCTCGTGCACACATGCCAACACACGGTTATTTTTCTTTTTCTTTCTTTGCCCTTTTTACTTTTTGTGTGTAATCGCTCCTCGCTTAGCCACGCACAGCAGAGAGGCGGGTAGGGCGGTCCCACACACACACGCATATATACATATATATATATATATGCGTTTTCTAGAAAGGCTGACTCTGCTGGCGGTGCGGTGGGTGTCGCCGTTGCTTACTGCCGCCTTGCCAACATGTTTCCCATAGAAAGAGGGAGTGTCCCGTTAATGAACTGCGTATGCTATGCTTTGAACGTGTACGTGTCCTGCACCTGCCGCTCCGGTGTTGGCCACGACTTTGCTGGAGGCGCAGTTGCAGTGATGGGTTTATGCCGCGGTGCTGAATCCATTTAGTGGGGATGGAGAGGGAGAGAGATGGGATAATGCTTGCCGCATTTTTTATTTTTTTTTGGACGGCAGCGGTTAATTTATTTTTGCTTTTGCTTCACCGCCATCACTATTACTTGACGAGGCGTCCGGTCCAACTTCCACACGGATGCGAGGCATATCTCGCCTCTACGCTTTACCGTCATACATGCGCGCCATAACCGTTATAAGAGGTATTCTAATGTATGTATCTGAGCTTCCTTGTGCACTTGTCTCTGTTCTTTTTTTTTTTTCTCTTTCTGTGTGTGCGTTTTTTTTTTTTGTGTCTCTGCGGCCATGGAAGTGATGCCAGGATTTGAAGGTTTTTGCACGGCGGTGGCACTTCGACAACGACGTGCGGGCGCCGCAGTGCCCACAACGACCAACCCGTACGAGTATGCGCAGTGGCGCCGTGAGGCGCGGCGACGTTGGGTGGATGCCCCAGCGAAGGATGACCGGCTTACGTTTGCGGCGGAGATCCGGCAGGAGGCGGAGGAGGTGGTGGCCGCCGCATTGCAAAGCGCCTCGCTGGGGACGCGGGCCCACGCGGTTCCGCATAGATTCCTGGCCGAGCGCGAGCAGCGGGCTCTGCTTTCCTCGTTGGAGCTGCTGCTGCGGCTGTACTTTTTTGACTGCGAGAACACGGCCCTGCTGGTTGCCATACGCAGCCTTTGCGGTGAGGCGGCGGAGCTGCGCAGCAGCGGTGTCTTTGGGTGTGAGCGGGGCACGTATCCAGAGGTCTACCTTCTGTACGAGTTCTTCTCCCTTAGGAAGCTGCTGCTAAACTGGGAGCGGCTAGGCGCCGAAAACCAACGGACAGCGCTAGAAACGGCGCTGCGCCTGGTCGAGCTCGTAGAGTCTCCGGCGTACGCCACGCTGAAGGCGCGGCTCCGGGCCGCCAGGGAGACGCCACACGCAGTAGCGACGAACGTTGTGAACCTTCTCTCCTGCCTCGATGCGGCTTGCCGTGACACACCGTACGCGTTTGCGTCCGTCTGCAGACAGGTGATGGCGGCTGTACATCCGGACCACGCAGGGCCAACAGGCCGGCTGTCGCCGCAGCTCGCTGCCGAGGAGGAGGAGGAGGAGGAGGAGGAGACTGACGATGACAACATTACTTCCCCGGAGGATGCCTCAGTGGGTCATGGGGCGTGGGGGGATCGGATGCCGCCGACGTCCCCGCCGAAGGCGCACCCGGCCTGCGGCTCTAAGTACCACACGCGGTACTCCATCCCCGAGAGACACGCCAGCAGGGAGTGCCCTTTTTGCGTGGTGTGCCACATGATGGAGGTGCTGTTCAACGGGTACACGAGGACGTGCGGCTGGGGGCATGGCCCGACAGAACGTCGCATCGCGTTTCACCTCAAGCGGCATCCGCGCGTCTACGACGTCGCGCTGCAGCGCCTTGCAAGCTGGCGACAAGGCGTCCCCCTGCCCCCGTACGACGGTGTCGTGTAGGGGGGAACGCCGTGACGCCACTGCGCAGGCGATGAAGTGGCACACGTATACACGCGGGAAAGGGCGGTGAAACAAAGATGTTTTTCTTTTTCTTCCCCCCTCTCCCTTTCCCTCTCTTTTTTTTTTGCTTGCTTTGCCTTGGTCATAGAATTTCATGCCTCGCTGCCGAGACTCCTTGCCACCACCATTCCGAGGCAAGGCGAACAAACAACCCTATCTTCTTCCCAAAAAAATAAATGTATCCACCCTCTTACTCTCTCACTCTCTGTGTATATGTATTTGTATAGACAATTGCTTGGCATTGTTATTGTTTTGACGGGCGGAGGTGAAGCCAATGTCTCTGCAAGTGTTTGATCGGCAG